GGGGGGCGGCTATCTGCCACTGTGATTATTGGGTTGTGGGACGGATCGCTGGCTGCCATCTTACTGTTAAGTGCACTTTCTCTTGCTGCCCCATGACACTTCTATAGAACGCACCTTTCGATTTTATAGTCACCAAAAGAGGAAATCTGTTTCTATATTGGTCTACGAATCTAAATGCTGTGCTGGATAAGCACGGTTGAATTGTGTATACTGTTGTTCAAGGATTCTGCTTTAGTTGTGCTCACCTCTGTATTCATTGATTGTTGGTCATTTGCATTCAAGCTACAACATTTTATTTATTATATTTGATTTGATTTGATTTTGTTTTGTGTTATTATTTTATTTAATGGAAACTGTTTTTAACAGTTTTAGTTCACAATAACAACAGTGGTTGCAGCAGACACCATCACAGTACTGATTATGGGTCACCATACTTGGCCACATGTCACGTCACTTCACTTCACTTTCCTCCAATGAATTGTTAAGGTTTGATGGTCAGGCATGGAGCATGATTTATTCTCACTGTCTAAAACACAATATATATTCAACTTCACCATACTGTTACAAGAACTGATGATTTATAGCAGGAGTATGAATCTAGGTCCCACACCAAATGTTTAATGTCAATCGAAGTATCACCAAGCAGTTGATCTACAGTAATTATAGTCTAAAAGTACACGTAATGCTCAGGTTCAGGGATTTAGTGTAAAAAGTAATTTAGCTGACACTTCTTTCCGAAGAGGTATACTTATTAAAGGGACGATCCCCATGGAATAACCTGGGATTAAGTGGTTTGCTCAAAAGCATGACGGAGATGGTTTCAGGGGCCGTTCTCTCCAGAACTTCAGTTTGTCAAGAGATGAGTTTGCCAAGTAGGATGCCTTCATCAATCAACAATAGTTTTTGGTCAGAATTTCTGTCAAAAAACATTGTTTTCATGACCCTATTTTTAGGTTGCAACCTACCTAAGAACCACTAGCCTAAACCTAACCCTAAAATCTGATGGATAAAAAAAAAAGATCTGGTTTATAAAATATTATTCCAGAATAGGATTTTGATCCAGAAACACGTCTTACTTAACAAAATTGCCTAATAATGTTAGAATCAAATTGATATGTGGGATTTATTTCAACCATAAAAATCAATATATATTGTGGAATCTATTTTAGCTTCAAGTGGGAGATTTACTAATTGGCTCAATATGTAGCATTTCTCATCTACCAGTGGGTTGCTGGCAGATCATGCACCATAATCATAAGAGCTACAGTGCTTGGCATGTTCATCAGCGCTTCCCATACTGCTGATCATCTCTATAATACGATGTATTATCCGTTTGTAATCACATGTAGACCGTTGAGCATGCTGGTCTAGTCCTCAGATCTTGACACAAATGAAATCAGCCTGAATTGCAAAACAGACACCTTTAACCACATATATTCCTAAATGTTCATTCTAATCAAGTAGTGATCTCATTTACTGGTGCAATAGAATCATGCAATGGCTTTTATCGCATAGCACTGTTGCAGATGGTGATGCTGCACTGCATCATTACATTTAGCTAGTCGAATGCTCATCATTTTGCTTAATAAGATGGTTGGTGGAAGCTGGTGGAAAATGACACCTCAGCTCAGTTTTTGGAAGACTCGTGAGAGATTGGTTGTAATTGCAATGCATGCCCCATCTCGCGTGTTGCTGGATGTGACATGCACACAATTTGAAATCTACATCCAGTTTGTTAACTCGCATTTTCCTTTTCCAACAGCAATCTTCTCTCGGAAGCCTTGCTGTAGGGCGTGAGTTGTCCTTTATTTTGTCGCCTTGCCTGTTAGCGTGCTTTTTTTGGGTTGCATGCAGGTTACATGCAGAGGTCATAATGAGAAACAATGACAACTGTAATGTTTTTCATTGGAGGACTGTAGCTACAGTTCCTCTTCCCTCTTGTCCTGATTCAAAAGCCGAGCTGTGTAATCCAATCTGACAGAGTTTCCTGCGGCATAATGTGCCCCCAAACTTAAAAGACGCCAGTCAAATCCACCCGACCCCCTGTCCCTGATATTACTACAGACACCCCCAGCAGTCATCCCCACTAAGATACAGCATTAAACAAGGGGTTTTTCTGAAGATTATGCAATTATAATGAATTGATAGCAGATTACCCTTTCTCCAAGCCTTCATGCCTTTATTGATTTAAAGGGCCAGTACAGCAGAAATGAGTAAGCTTTATGAAAAAGAACTGTGAAAAGAGTGTACACAAATGGTTTTAAACCTCAGGGTGTTAAATAAAGACTAATTAGCTGGTTCTGTAGAAAAAAAAATCATATGGCCTAAGGCCATAGAGCTGGAACTGTGACAGTTAGGGATTTTCAAAGCGAAATAAAGCAAGTAAAGGAAAATCTCCACTTCTCACAGGAGTCAGTCCCTCATGAAATGCTATAAAAATCCCAAAGTGCATGCCAATCTGTCAAGACAACTTTTATTATAGTATAAAATACAGTAAATTTAGCTTTTTGATCCAGAAACCCATATGATGGCATATAAAAGAAGAACATATGAAGCATTGCTATATATTTTAGTGAAGAATAAGTGAAATAAATTACAAATATACCTTAAATTCACAGTATGTTACCTGTGACTGCGCAATATTAACACAAGTTCGGGATGCCAGTTAATTAAACATTTAAATCAAATTATTCGGGCTTTTCAACAATTAATGAATATAATTAATCTAGATTGATTGTATATAATAAATATTTGCTGTGAAATTTTTTTTGAATGTAATCAATTATTGTACTGATTAGACATTAGGAACTTTATTACACATTAAGTCTTTTATTCTCTACAGTCCGCAAATATTTTTGAATTGTTGATTTTTGCACACATTGCATTGTGTGTCTTGGATGCGACTTTTTTAAGACCAGAGTTGAGTAGATAACTTACAAATTGTAGTCCATTACTACTGATTCCAAATTACTTTTAGATTACATTTGACCTAACTCGTCTATCACTCGTCTATTATCTAGGATAATCTTGTACCATATTTATATAAAAATGGAAAGAAAAAGAAAATATGTTCCATTTGTTACTATTAACAACATGAAGTGCATTAAACTTTACATTACGTCAAGGTTTCCCAAACACAAACTGCAAGGGTTTGTGAGTTCAATAAGAAAGCTAATAATTAATTAAATCAATTAAATAAAAATGTAAAATTAAAATAAATAATTATAAAATAACATCAATCAAAAAATATATATATATATATTTTATTTGTTTATCAGCATGTCATGTAACCTTTAACCAATGTAAGATAACGCATGCACATATGATACTTAATTATTAACTTATTACCTTAAAATCTCATGGGGTTCTTCAAGTAAATATATTAAGAGAAAGAGGTTCAGCTGACAAAAAAAAGTTTGGGAATTAGGAAAAAAGAGGACTTAGGGAGAATCATTAAATTATGAATAATAGCAACTGTAGATTGATTATGAGTAAAACGTAATTTAATCTAATTACAAGTACTTAATTTTTGGAATCTTATTACGTAATCCAGATTACATGTAATCAGTTACTACCCAGCACTTTTTAAGATGTGTTAAGTTTAAAGTAGTTCAACTTTGAAAAACACATCTCGAGACCACTGCTTTTTATTCCATTTGGTTGCACTCCATCTGCTTTTGAATGCAAGGATATTTCCTGCAAGATGGCATCACACAGTAATTGAGATATGCATAAACCTCATATGTAAATGGCTGCATTTCTGGTAATCAAAATGAAAGGTCCTCTGAGAAGTCATTGCGAATTATTCTGTCAGATTCAACCCTACGCAGGGCCTCAGAAGATGTCATTTTGCCTGTATATGTGGGTGGAATGCTACGTGCTAGTGAAAGTGGCTAACAGTATTTAGGTTGGCTTCTAGCTCCTATTAATAGTCAAGAGAAAGTAGCTTTTGAGGTCAACAAATTCCAGCCCCCTGATTTCTCTGATGTTGCAGGTTTCTGTTTGTTTCTTCGCTATCACGAATAATAATGCATAATTTAGTCCGCATCCAGCTTCAGAACAAAAGCAGTTGCTACTCTCTTTAAATGTGCAATGAATATTTTGTACAGAGTTAACAGTTGGGGGTTTCTAACTGTCTGCTTTCTTGTTTTATTCTTTCATCGAAGCGTTGCTCCCATCTGTCATTCATACTCAAAACATAATTGCATTGATTTTCTGCACATTTTAACTCCAGTCTCCCAAGGCTTTTGTTTGCAGTGCTTTAATATTTTAGTCGCCATCAGCCCGTCACATTGAAAACATCTCAGTTGTTAACTTTCTCTTTGATCCAACAACATTTCACCAGTATTTGTCCCCACAGTCGAGGTGATCACTTCAACAGAGGTGTAATCTCTCAGATCTGTCTATAAAGGCAGCGCATCTGTCATATTTGACTCAGAATGTCTTATTTTAATTATTTCTGTAATTACTTTCCCCCACAGATTATACGTCTCACATTCAAGGGAGAAATCATTCCATTAACAAGCAATTGGATGAGAGTCATACTTGCCCTTGGCAACTAAAGATGACGTTACTATGGAAACGACTTGTGGTGCTATCAATCATTGGCTGCCTCGCAGGTAAATTATTGTCCTGCTGTTTTGTTACTGAATGTTTTGTTTTTTCATTCTGTTTTTATTTTGGGCTGAATGTATATGTAATGGACTGTCATAAAAGCAAGAATTTCATTATGATCTTAAGCCTTGGATTCATTCAGTCCTTGGAGGAGGTTTCAGACAAGACGCTGAAGTCGGATAAGTTTATACGTGCATTCATGTCGAATATATTGTTGTTTTGAATACTATTGAACTTAATTATCATGTTATGTTCAGAAAAGAAATAACAATATGATATTGAGAAAGTAATGCCTTTTTGGGCTTAGTCTTTGAAGTAATAAACTTCAACAGGAAAGCCCTCGTGTGAAAAAAAAAATGTAAATGAAATAAATAAATTAAAATAACCCTAATGTTGAACCCAGAGTTATTTTATATATATATATATATATATATATATATACACAGTGCCATTCAAAAGTTTCAAGAGTCATGGATTTTTTTATGTCCTTGAAAGCCTCTTCAAAATTATTGTGGGAAAGCTCATCAGTGCTGTATTTATTTGATCAATATACAGTAAAAAAACACACACAAGAAAAAAACACAACTTAAGTTAATGTATTTTAAAATGTAATTTATTCCTGTGATGGAATTTTCAGAAGATCCTTCAGAAATAATTCTGATTTGGTGCTTAAGTAACATTTCTTATTAATATCAATGTTGAAAACTGATGTGCTGCCTTATATTTTGTGGAAACCATGATCATTTGTTTTCTTTTATGAATAGAAACATTATAAATGTAATTGCTGTTATCAATGTATTGTTACCTTGCTGAATAAAATATAGATTTCTTGCAAAAAGCAAAAACTGACCTCAAACTTTTGAATGGTAGTGTACATATAAGTGTCTCCTCAAAACATCGGATGAGAAAATAATCGATATTACAAACATAAATCGCAAATATTACTAAATATGGCATTAAAGGTATAAAAGTCACTTGTTTTTATAAAGTAACGCTGTCAAACAGCGACACCCGCAGGTAAAGTTACAGCAGAGGCTTGCCTCCCTTCGGTCATAATATTTATATATAAATATATATTTATATATAAAACTGCCTCCTCATTTTAAAACACCACCGCATGCCACTGATATATATATATATATATATACATTTTTTTCTTTACCCAGTCCTTTTATATCCATTTATGTTTGGTTTCCCCAAGGCTGCAGTGAGATTGTGGCCCAATACCTGTGTTTGTCAAAGATGATTATCAGGATTCCTGGGATGGAGGCTTGTCTGTATCTCACTAGAAACCGCTGCCTCTTCCTTCCTCTCTGGATGCAGTGGATTACAAATGCAACTCAGAGGAAACTTATTTTTGTTCGTTGGTGGCAGTATTTACAACAGAAGGTTTGATTAATGAGAGAGCAGATGCTATTGTGAAGGGAAATACAGACTAAATCATTTTCTTTTCATCTTGTATTCATGAAACTGAAACACAGAACAATTATAACCGACACATGCATCACATATCCTATAGTTATGGTGTGTAATTTCAGAAATGATACACACAATCTTTCTTCTGTTGATATTACCACAGCTGACACTGGAGTTTATTTTCCTGTAGGATGGCGTTTCTATGAGGTTTGCAGAATTGTCTCGTAAATATGGCTGCACGGTGTATCTCTGTATAATATGAATTAATAAAGAAAAAATAATGGCTGCAAGTCTCTGGAATCTATTTAGATATATTACATAATATTCTGACAATGGAGGCGTGATGTCTTCTGAAGCACACTTCTAGAAAAATTTAGAAGTGTAGGGAGCTGCAAAAGATGTGTGAATAATGGTATTTTTCTGTAGTCCTGGATGTTTTTAGTATCAAATAAAAGCAGCTGTCAAAGCATGCACAGTATAAACGTGTGTGTGTGTGTGTGTGTGGGTGTATATATACATATATTCCCTCCTCCTCCCCAGCACCACCTCTAGGGATTTGCTATGGGGTCTACCATTTCTTGCAACAGGCTGTCCTGTTTTGTGTTATTTTGACTAAGCTAAACAAATTCTTGTATTTGCTCTGCAGCAGCAGCAATGTAGCATGTCTCATACGCCAAAATGAAGCTTTTGTACATTACATTCCCCATGCCGGTAAATGCTAGTTGAAATCATTCACTCTGAGACTTGTCATGATTGAACTGTATTTTTATTAAATGAACAACAAATGGATTATCTCTGTGTCAGTCTCATCAGCACATGCAGAAGACACAAAGTTTCTTGGTCCAAGCTGGAAAAAGGAACCCGAAGATCTGATACTGCCCATCCACTCTCCTGAGCAGGAGGCTGTTTTAACCTGTGAGGCATCGGGAGTCCCTTCCCCTCAGTACAGGTATGAGCCCAATCTAGTGTTCTATATATATATATATATATAAAAACTGCCTCCTCATTTTAAAACACCACCGCATGCCACTGATATATATATATATATATATACATTTTTTTCTTTACCCAGTCCTTTTATATCCATTTATGTTTGGTTTCCCCAAGGCTGCAGTGAGATTGTGGCCCAATACCTGTGTTTGTCAAAGATGATTATCAGGATTCCTGGGATGGAGGCTTGTCTGTATCTCACTAGAAACCGCTGCCTCTTCCTTCCTCTCTGGATGCAGTGGATTACAAATGCAACTCAGAGGAAACTTATTTTTGTTCGTTGGTGGCAGTATTTACAACAGAAGGTTTGATTAATGAGAGAGCAGATGCTATTGTGAAGGGAAATACAGACTAAATCATTTTCTTTTCATCTTGTATTCATGAAACTGAAACACAGAACAATTATAACCGACACATGCATCACATATCCTATAGTTATGGTGTGTAATTTCAGAAATGATACACACAATCTTTCTTCTGTTGATATTACCACAGCTGACACTGGAGTTTATTTTCCTGTAGGATGGCGTTTCTATGAGGTTTGCAGAATTGTCTCGTAAATATGGCTGCACGGTGTATCTCTGTATAATATGAATTAATAAAGAAAAAATAATGGCTGCAAGTCTCTGGAATCTATTTAGATATATTACATAATATTCTGACAATGGAGGCGTGATGTCTTCTGAAGCACACTTCTAGAAAAATTTAGAAGTGTAGGGAGCTGCAAAAGATGTGTGAATAATGGTATTTTTCTGTAGTCCTGGATGTTTTTAGTATCAAATAAAAGCAGCTGTCAAAGCATGCACAGTATAAACGTGTGTGTGTGTGTGTGTGTGGGTGTATATATACATATATTCCCTCCTCCTCCCCAGCACCACCTCTAGGGATTTGCTATGGGGTCTACCATTTCTTGCAACAGGCTGTCCTGTTTTGTGTTATTTTGACTAAGCTAAACAAATTCTTGTATTTGCTCTGCAGCAGCAGCAATGTAGCATGTCTCATACGCCAAAATGAAGCTTTTGTACATTACATTCCCCATGCCGGTAAATGCTAGTTGAAATCATTCACTCTGAGACTTGTCATGATTGAACTGTATTTTTATTAAATGAACAACAAATGGATTATCTCTGTGTCAGTCTCATCAGCACATGCAGAAGACACAAAGTTTCTTGGTCCAAGCTGGAAAAAGGAACCCGAAGATCTGATACTGCCCATCCACTCTCCTGAGCAGGAGGCTGTTTTAACCTGTGAGGCATCGGGAGTCCCTTCCCCTCAGTACAGGTATGAGCCCAATCTAGTGTTCTATGCTAGCAATTTATGTATTATTTCATTGCTATTACAAACCATTTAAGCGGTTGGTTTTGGCAAATTGGCAGCTTATTCCCATAAGGATCAGCTTGAAAAGTAATGGCACTGATTGCTATTGATTTTCCAGGTGAGAGGCAATTTATTTGTCCTTCGTGTTTGCAGTTGCATAAATCCAGTAATCTACTGTATTTCTAACAGCCTATCCCAGTGGAATCCGTGTATCATTCGATCATTCGTTTTTTGATTTAATATCGAAAGTAGAAAAATGAGAAAACGGCTCCTTTTTTGTTTTTTTTTTCCAAAAATTGAAAAAAGAGAATTCAGCTTAAATTTTCTTTTTTCGCTCAGGGGTAGAAAAATGAATAAACAGCATGAATATTTGATTTCTACACGTGGGCAGGAATTAAATGCCCCTTTCTTCTGATTGGTCAGCCGAAGATCCAACCGTGCCGTCATCAGTTCTTCCGCAGTATCACGCAGCAGAATAATAGTCCTCCACTGCTGCAGTTGTATGGATTAATTACCCATTTTATTGCAACTACATTTCATATTTTTCTCATCAAACAGATTAATGAATAGCTCGACACAACTAGTACTGGGGCAGAGGGTGTTCTTCTGTGTAGACCAGCGGTTCTTAAAGTGATAGGGGGTCCGCGAAATAATTTGCTATAGCCTAAAGTATATCCAGACTGTAAAGTCACTTTTTTTATCATGCTACATAGGCCTACTGTGATTTATTCCAAAGTGACTTATATGATGCATTTAACGTCAAATAATCTAAATGAAGCCTTTAAGTATTCCCTGTGGTTCATGTTTGTGGCATGCGCCAGAAAGATGCTCAAGGACACCGAGACGCGCTAAAGCAGCGCATTCTGTTGTTCTCTTTATTTTTCAAAGGCATTTTGTAGTTATTTTGAATGTAACATTACACAAATAAAAATATACATTTTACCATATGACTATAATTGACAGAGTATTAAGTTATTTCCCCTCGATGGGGAAAAAATCCAAGTGAACATCAATCAGTACTCAATATTAATTTAAACTGCTTTAAATATGACTGCTGCTTATTTCCGGTGCACTTCTGCGCTTGACTGTAGTCTGTCTGCTTATTGACTTTATTTAACCCATCGCAATTTATTGGAACTGTGTGAACTAGAGT